ATGGGTAGAGGGCTGTTTAGTGCCGCTCCGTGTGGGCTGTAACCCACTCTTATATTAACATAAACAAGCTTTGTCTATGTTTTTACAATATCACCATCAAAGAGCCATGCGATCCAATAGAAAGCACTGCACTTGAGTGTCAAGTAAGTGGGTAAGTGGAACATTGTTCTTATTGTTGTTGAAATCTTGTAAATTTGCATTTGTCAGCGCTGAATGACCTTTTTAATTAATACAAATTGGAGGAACAGGTTGTAAATGTGTGCAGTTTGTTTCTTGTCTACGACTTCATGTTGCATTGAGAGCTTTAAATGTAAAAATTAGCTCATTCTGAAGGCTTGATGGTGATGACAGAAAACCACTTCTCCGACAAGGTAAGACTTGGGTGAAACAAATCTGGGTCATGACAGTAAACGGTCCGTTGCCATGGCTTTCAGAATGCATACATGGCAAGAAATAGATCTAGAGAGTTGGTGTGAGACAACTGACACCAGGGAGTGTCTCACAATGCTTCTAGGAGTCATATGAACAACTCTTCGTTAATTAGTGACAGATACATCGGGACACTGTTTTCTCTTAAGGGTTTTACTTCATAATTCACCTGCTTCTGCTGCAGCAGGACACGGCCTACTTGTGTGGAGGCACCAAAGCTCAAAAATAATCTTCCTAGACTGGTAGACAGTAATGTCAGCCTGAATCCATCTGAGTCACGGAGTAAAGTACTGAACGTGTGACATTTTATAACGCATATAATGCTGTCCCCGTGCATGTATCTCATTCCAGCAATATGCCACAAGCCCCACGGTGAGACTGCTCTTTGCCTGTAACCTTTTTCTCAGAATCTCAACACTGCTCTGCCAATAACCTGTCAATAAACATTTCACTAGTTTTGGTGGTTCTTACTTTTTCCGACCAGTCCAATGGAATCACATGGGCAATACTAGGGTTGTATGGGTACACTGCTATCCCCTCATACTGCAGTATTAAACCTATTAAACTACATGGTAACAGCTGTTCCAGCAGTTTGCCTTTTGGCTACGGTAGTATATGCCCTCACCTGTCTATGCCCCACTGCCATGACCAACAATCTGTATGTAGCTGCACGATAAAGAACAGCTGCCAACACTGATCTTTTCTTTAGAATAAATTGAGTTATTTATTTACTGTATCAATTATGGTAGTAAAATAATTGCTGGGAATATATAATTGGTACATGTCAATGTTAACTGAATAATCACACTGTAAATATTTATAAAATATCTTGCCATCTGAAAAATAATCTGTACATTATAGGTAGAATTGTATGTATGAAGAGCATAAGAAGCAGCTGGCTTGTTTACTTTCAGTGTCTACTGTTGAATATTTAAGTAGTTTGGGAATATCAGTTCTTTGGAAATCGTAAAATATCTGCTGATTTAGAACAAGAGAGAGGCGAGATCTCCAACTGGCTTGTCCATGTCCATGTCATGATGTATCATTGGACACTTACCCCCAAATGGCCTGCGGTGTATGAATGGGTCAGGCGATACATGATAACTTGGCAAAAAAGAGATAATGGTACATTAAGAGCTTAAGGCAAAAAAAACACAGTTTGGGCTGTTATAATATGAATTATTTTGGAATAACACATAAAGGGCATATACATTGACTCAAGCCTGAGGTTTCCCTACTATCCACACCTGCAAGACTTTCTCGTTATGACCAGGCAGCAACTACCGTTTGTCAGGTGTCTTATACTTCATACCTGCAAACTCGCTTTTCGGCTAAATTTGCTGTTATGAAATCAAAATAGATCATGTGAATCGTGTAGATCTGTAGAGTCTTTTTTGGGGGGGTGAAACTTTGCATTTCTTCTAATGTCTAATATGAGAAAACTGACTACTTCACTCCAGATGTATTCCCTCAGTAATTATTGTAAACAAGAGTTCAAGTCTTCTTTAATAAAGCCTGATGCTCATTTTGTATATTATGGTCCATTTAGATGGAAAAGGACACTACCTTGTGATTGACGGGTGTCTACAATGTGGTTGTCTGGTCCGTCAATTTGGCTAAAGGTTTCTGTCTTACGGCTTTAACTCTTTCAAAGTGTGTTATGACTTCCATAAAAGAAAATTGTAACAAATTTCAATATTTTTAATTTAGATCCACCCACTCTGTTCTCTTCTGGTGACCAACGGCTGAAAGGCCGTTCTTGAGGCTTCCAGACAGCAGTCTACTACTGACTACGTCTTCTTTCATACTGTTAAAGATGATGACATTTTGACATAAGTCTGAATACAGTACAGTCCTTTCAGTTGTTATAGGCCCATGTGTAAGTATTTTTAATTAAACTTACTTTCCTGCATTTGACTCCTGTGGCCAATGTTTCCTGAGTCATAAATATAACCTCCAATCCAGTGTGACATAAAGGCTGCGAGTAATGTGGGATGATTAAAAGACAAGCTTTATTAATGCCTTAAAGGTTAAATATCAAGAGCACGAAGCCTTTCTCCAAGCCCTTTGGCATGTTGCTGACTCATCTGTTTATTTATAAAGCAGCTATGATTGTCATGTTGCTCTTCTTACTTATAGAAACAACTGTACATATTTAATGTGAGATATATGTTCTTGCACGCCTCAAGTTAGTTGTTTTTGTCAACTGAAAGAAAAGGAGAACATTTTTTCACTCACTCCAACAGTGATCTTTCATTTGGAGGGTAAACACAAACTGGACAAATCAGAGAAGCAAACAAATAAGCATGGCAAACATTTCATGACTGAGAAGCATGTTCTATCCCCCCTGTGACTGTGGATGGCTTAGTTACAAACAGGGCTACGTGGTGTGTGGGGGGGGCATGGATCTGTGCAGTTGTGGAACTGACAGGACATTGACTAACAGCATTTTCCAGGACGGCGGATTTCAGAGGCCAAGGATACGTTTTACCCGTTACTTTGCCTTAGATTCTCTTTCTTATTATATTTCGATTCTGGAGAAGAAGAAGAAGCATGCAAGCGTGTTGAGATATCAGTGCTTGCAGCAGATAAATACTTTTTTTAACTGTGCTCCAGTGCCTTTCTTCTTCCTATGTTAATTAAAGTTTAAAGCAGTAATCTAAATTGCATTTAACGTATAAATTCTCTTTTGTGCATACAACATAAAGCATGTGTTCGATAGATTGTGATTCTTTCTCTGATGGCACACAAGAAAACCGCTTTTGTCTCTTGATTTCTCCTACATCAAGTATTTGTCTACAAAATGCAGCATGAAAGGCAGCTGTAGAACAGTATTAAAATGCGTTGGAGCAGAATAACACGTTAAACAGCGCTGCCGGCTACAATATAGCAGAAAACCAGCTGGACATTAACGCTCGAAACCCAGATTTCTGCTAAAATGAAGTTTAATTACATTAATGGTCATTATGACGTTGTGTCATAATAAGCAACATTACTTTATAGAATTCTACGGGAAGTAATAATTAAATCCAGGAGTTGTGAAGTCGCTTTCTACGGTGAGATGGACAAAACAAGGTTCCCAGTGTGTCGTATTTGGGATGTACATGGTTTTCTAAAAGCTACAAATAAATAAACAGGCGGGTACCAAAAAAAATATTGAGCGTTCCTCAGCGGCCGCTCGTCTGATTTGGATACGTGTGTGTTCAACAGCACAGCATGTCTGGTGTATGAAATGATCATTGGGAAGAATATACCAAAGACTAACTAACTATGGTTACACTTAAAATAGCACTAAAACTTCACTTTACATTTTGTCAGCGATATGAATTGCATCAGTTTTGTGAATTGACAAAAAACAATCCTCAAGAAGGTCATTTAATTGTCAGCTCCCCCTGCATAAATCATAATTTAGGAAATGGGTAATAGGTTATTTTTAACAATAGACATCCTGTATATTAAAAACAAGGCTTTAAAATATGATTAAATATGCTAATGACCTTTTGTTAGGAAACGATCAAAATTATTTTAAAAATTGCCATGATCTAAATACATCCTCTACACATCACCTTGTGAAAAGACTCAACATGGAAATTCTAAATATTTGCCTGCCAGTAATTTACGTCTCTGCCTTTTATTTTGAACAGGAGGGGGGAAACTGAGTCGGGGACTCCAGAGCCTTCATTTTTTAGTTTCATAATGCTCATAAATAAAGCTGCAACTCCACCTGTTTGGCACAACGTCGTTGGTTCATTCGCAGGGCGAAAACCCAGGATAATTATCCTCATTCAGGAAACATTTTTTCATGACACAATATCCACATGCGTAAAAGTATTCATGACATTAAAAAACTTCTATAATTTATGGCCACTGCAGCGTAAACGCTCATAATGCATAAGAATAAGAAGTGCTTCTCATTTTGATTTGCGGTAAATGACATCCCATATTGTCTGGAGCACCTGTAAATGTGCTGCCACGCTGACAAATCCCTGATCCTCTCATTGCTGCCATCACATTAAAGGGTTCTCAGAGGCCGCTGCAGCTCCGAAAGGTGCAGGTCCTCCTGGCCTGAGGCGCTAGAATCCTGGCTAGAAAAAGGGATGGAGATGGGCTGAAACTCCCTAACCTCTCTCACAACCCACAGCGCTACTTGAAAATCCTGACCTGTGGTAGGAAGTCCTCAACGTGACCGGCTCTCACTTTATCTGCTCCTGAGACAAAGCTTCTCCTCTAGAATACAGACAGAGGCCAACCAAAACTGCAGATTCAGGTCTTATAACAATTATTCAATAATGCACCCCTGGGATTATTTGTCTAATTAGTTGTGTTATTGTGGAACCAACATATTATTGAAAACTCGTGTGATGTGTTCAGGGACAAGTGTCCAGATGGGGGACAAGTGTGCTTCCCTCATCCTCACTGACGCACACACACACGCGCGCGCGCGCGGATTCATGTAACACAGCAGTTGCTCTCTCGTGAGGTGGTGCGTGCCCACTTGACGACAACAGGCGCACTTTGCGGGACCCTGCTGTGAATTGCGCTGCCGCAAAGGAGACGGATGAGTCACTTACGCTGCTGTTGTGGCCGGACCAGTGCACCATGGCCTGGTTGTGAGAGGAGTCCCCGGTCAGGGCGAAGGTGGAACTGTTGAGTTTCTGCTCCTCCTGCCTCGGACCGGCGCCTCTCCAGCGCGAGTCAGAGCGGGTCACCCTGCGCCGCCCGCCCGCAGGGCGCGCGTCCTCCCCGGGCTCTCTGCTTTGGACATCGTCGTGGTCCTCGTCACTGCTCCTTCTGCAGCGGGTGGTCCCGGCTCTGGTCTTCTGCTCGCCACTGGTTTGGACATTGGAAACTTTCGTCTTTGCGAACTTGCTCTCGCCGCCGCCGCCACCGCTGCCCCCCGCGTCCTGCTTCTCCGCGCTCCGTTGCAGCTTTTGCTCCGCGGATTCCACCCGAATGTCAGGAGCGCATTCAGCGGAACCAGCAGCGCAACGGAGTCGCCGACTTTCCGCACCCGCGGCCGCGGATCTCACCGCCCCGTCTCCGTAAACTTCTCTCTTTAATCCAGTCGGGTACTCACTTGTGTCGAATTTCAGCAGTAATTCCTGTGAACGCCATTTATTTCCAGGTTGGCACGACCTGCAAGTTATTTCGGCTTTGGCAACACGAAAGGAACAGAACATCATAAAAATGAAAAGCCTAAACGCACTGTGCCACTTTGGGCGAAATATGACCTCACTCTCCATCGCTGGAGGCAGAGGGGGATGCTGAGGATGCAAGAAGCTCTTTGCCCTCACTCTTTCCTTCGCCTTTTCGGGGAGGAAACTGCCGCTCGGCTGTGGAAGAGGAAGTGCTGCGCAAGTTGTGGCGTTGCTCAAATGCAGTGATGAAAAAAGAAAAGTGGTCCAACTTGAAGGATTTGATCAAATGAAGCTGTGCGCGCATGGGGGAGGAGCTGATCCGCGCAGAGATGGAGAATCGTTCTGCACTGACTTTCTCCATATTTGTTATTTACCAACATGTGGTCGACAATAATTAAAGCAGTCAGTAATATAATTTTGTTGGGCTGCTCTTTTATTTCTTTAATTCGAGATTCTATTTCTGGTACTTTTTGTCTCTCTCCGGATGCAGATTGGGTCACTAGCGTTGCTTCGGGGACAGTAAATTGCTTCATTTTGCAAATGAAAGTGCATAATTTCCTACAATGATCATTTTTGGTCGGACATATTACACATTTCCTTTTTCTTTAAATTTCCATTTTGGAAACTAGTGCCTCTGTCAAAACTCTACAACCAAAAAAACATTGACATCAAATAAAAATAAAACACCATACATCTCGTATCAAAAACAAGCACACACAAAAAGAGCGTTGAATGAATCACAGCTCTTTCCATATGCCGACTGCTCACTGATATGATGTACACCATTATCATCCTCTTTAGCGCCATATAGACTGTGAACACAGATTGATGCCATGAGTTTGTATTAGATAATAATGCCCGATTTTCAAGGGCAACTTGTAATAACAAAGAATAGTCTTTGTAATATAATCCTATTAGTCTTAATTTTGGTAAGTGTCATGTTGATATTTGTTATATTTTATAATTACATTTCCAATGCAATACCAATGAAACTGATATTTTTAAATGTATCAGCATTGATTTAGATTGTATATTGATGTTATTAAAAAACACTACAATAGAATGATGGAAATCTTGTTATTTGACCTCTGCTGCCGGTGTTTTCCACATTCTTTCTTTATTTCAGTCTTTAACATTAAAACCGTTATTTGTACTGTTTACACACAGGTGGTATTCTCCGTGTTAACTCAAATCATTCACACAGATTACCAATAGGATACATTTGTGAGTAGTTTCAATACCTGTGCCACAATCACAACTTTTTGTGTCTTGGCAACAGCTAAATTATATTTGTTTTATATTGTAAAAAAAAATGTCCAACATTGTGCAGTGTCTTTTTAAAGCAATAAAGATTTCAACAGCAGCTAAAGTAAGATGAGTTTATTTTGCAAAACACACATCTCGATCTGCATACAATTAACTACGGTATATCCTGCCAGGTTGATACAATGCTCTGAAGACCAGCCGAGGGCCCCACTGTAAGATGAAGCATGCAATAATGATTATTTGAATACTTTGTGAACAAGGAGACACTATGTTTATCCATATCATTCTGCCCCAACAAGCAGCCAAAGAGTCTCAGGCGACGCAAACAAGTGTACAGTAACTGGTTAAAACTTCAGGGCTGGAGGTTGATCCCTTTGATGTCAGCCCTGCAGCTCTCCGTGTGTAATGACGGTAAAGTTATGGTGATTGCTGATGAGCACAAAGGGATATACAAATGGTCACAGACTACTACAGCAGCTGGATGCTGTCAGGATGCTGCCGAGAGGGAATCAAATGGACAGAGAGCGCCTCGGGAGCTGATTCATTTTACCTCAAAGAAAACTATCTGTAGGCTACAAATTAGCAAGAAAGAGTAAATGATTCTATAATTGGAGTGTCATACATAATTATAGACTAATGTTTCCTCCAAACACATGTGGCATCTTCTGTTGTGAAGTGTGCCGAGTATAAACACATTGGTGTTAATTAGTCATATGTTCATAAAGATTTGTGATGATTACAGCTCAATGCTGCACATTCTGCCACATTCACTCTCCCTCTGTGGATCTATAATCCTGCCTTTTATCTCCTTGTGAATCATTACGAGGTTTTCTCGTTTTTTAAATATAAAATGGGCAGAGATTATAATTCCATAGAAATTCTAGTGAAAACATTCATTGAAAATGCGATTATATATATATCTATATATAGTTCTGTAAATTAGGGTTTATTACAATCAGCATTAAGTCGGCAGAAACATCCTGGTGTCAGTGTTTGAAGTGAGCATTGTGATTATCAATTACTTTTCATAGGCTGGCATTAGAAGTCTCCTGATGCCGGGAGTTTTGATGGCTAGAAAGCCATCGCTGTTTTTGCACCTATCACATGGGAGGTTACTGTCAGCGGCGAGTTCCACCGCACTGTGTCAGCACTCTGCATTGTAAATCTTTTAGAGCGGTGTTGCACAGAATGCAGCAACTGCCTTTTAGATGACTAAACCTATCCACTTAGTTTATTTGTCAAATCATGATATTTACCAACAACAATCATAACCTAGTTTCCATGTGCAGGATTTGTAAAAAGTGAGAACTAAAAAAACATTGCCTTTGAACCCAGAAATAAAAAGTTGCATTGAACTTGTTTGTTTGTTATTTTGCCATAATAATACAATACAGTGTCCTAAGTTTACGTAGACATTTTCCGACATGACGAGGATAAATACGTTTTTTGGGAAAAGCGGACTAGAATACACCTGAGGCCAGGAAGAATTGTTGGCATTCTATGTTTCTGCCACATACAGATGAGTTGAATCAATGTGCTTGCATCCGGTCATAGTAATTGACAAATGAACAATTTTTATTGAAACGGACGAAGTTCAGGGTGGCTCGGAGTAGTTGTTGATTTTTATTTTTTATTTTATTGGTTTATTCCACACAGGACAGTGCACAATAATGAAAAAAATGTATGACCTGTCAGACCTGTCGGGTGAGATCCCGTTGTGCTCTACCTGAGTTCTGGAGAAGGGGTAGGTAGTTCTGCCCACACACACTGTTAGCTGGGCGGGAGTCACCCCTGTAGTTTTGGCCATAGAAAGGTAAGCTGGTTAGGGATAGACTGTGTTAGGCAGGGAGAGGTGTGTAGAAGACTAGGGACCTTTTGTTTATTTCATTACTTTGATCCCCTTCTCCTCCCTTCCTTGGTTGTTTTGGTGTTGTCTTTTTGTTTTACTAAATGTCCCACAAGGATGAAAAAGTGGATAAACATTGTTTACTTCCGGTGTGCCGAAAGTAAACAAAGTTGACCCCAAAAACAAAACTGCCGCTAGCTGGAGACAGTTGGACAGGAGAGAACGAAGCAGAAGTTTTTTTGCATTGGAAGTAAAACAAACAAGCGCAAATTACAGCTGAGAACTGAGCAGAGGAATTCCTCCAGGTGTCACACAGAAAGTGGATGAGTGCAAATGGACCACATTACGCACCACTAGGCTAAGCTTACTGCTAAGATATGCTTGCTGGTAGGCTACTTCCATCTCAAAATCTACCTTGCTCACCATAGTGCCAGAGGACTACCTTACTCTGCATAGTGGACCCCACTGCTAAAAGTTTTGCAAAACGTCCCGGCTAAATGTCGGAACATTGTTGGCACTTGAAACACGGCTGTCAAATGATGGAGTGTTGAAAGCACAGCAAAGTGCAACGCTTTCTAAAGTGATTACTAATTATTTAAGTAAAGGCTGGCGCATGCTTCTGCGTATTTATTCACAAAAAAGGCTTGCGTGTGTTGCAGAGCAATTCACCGCCAGAACAATAGGTGGAGTAACGTTTTTTGTTGCTGCAGGAGGCTTGCGTCGCTTTCGAACAATGTGTCGACGCACGCAAGGAGGTGTGAAAAGGCACACAAGGGACACGCAAGGGGCTCTTGCGCCTGCGTGTCCTTGCATCTCTCTGAAAACGCAGGAGCATAAACTAGGCTTAAGATTGGGTTTAGAAGAAGAAAACATGTTAAATTGTGAATTATCACGATTAACACATTTCAAAATGTGCAATTAGTTCATTTTAAATATTGAAAGCCCAAAAAATAAAATAACCTCTGTATGATCCCCTTTACGGTCAAAAGTTTTCGTGCATCAACCTGGTGTGCTACTCCTAGCCATTTAGCCGGATCAACCTCTTAATTTCTGAAGGAAAGCATAGTTCACCATGAATATTGGGAGTTTTTGCAATACTTGCAAACCGTGACAAAACGGTTATTGCATGAAAAATCAAGCTTATATTTCTCTTTCTTGGCAGGGAGGCTCCTGCTTCCCACCCACTGAGAAATGTCTGTGTAGATGTTGCAAACTTCATTTGGAGGCCACAGTCACTCAACAGTGCTTTCATGCAGAAACATAAAATTAAAAATTCCAGCTACAGAGAAAAAAGACTTAAACTATGTAACAAGAATTAATTATGGGAGAACTGGAGATACTTTTAGCTCCAATCATGGGTATCAAAGTCTAGAGTTCTACTTAACAAGGCTGCTCTGAGGTTGTCCTCAATGTCCAGTTTGTTTCTCTGTTTAGTCTTCAGCTGAGAAGCCACACTGGCAGAGATAGGTAAGGCATGGGAGAGAAGCTATCCAAATATATATCAGGTCCTACAGCTGCCTTCAAGGTCCCTACACCCAAGGACGGGTCGGCCCTGGTTAAAGGCAAGAGACCATCAATTTTACCTCAAAGTTAGAATCTTCCCATTAAAGAAATTGATAGTCATTATTTCTGAGGTCTAAAGGAATACACGTCTCAACAGAGCTGTGACTCAGTCACACTGGCTATAGTGATGTGTGTGAACCTGGGGTGGTTTTAAGTGTTCTCTATTAATGATGAGTAATAAGCTGCTCTTGCATTACAGAGGGCCTTCGTACATGCTCCAAAGCTGTCTCGCCAAACTAACCTAGATTCTTCTAACATCAAAACTGTTGGAAAAACTGCAAATAATGTCATATCATAAATAATGTAATATCATGACTAAAAGGGAGTCACGTCTGTATTGTTCGATCTTCATGACATATCAGCTGAGATGAGATTCAGGTGTCAAGGAGGACACAGTGTCTCATGATGGTCAGATGTATGTCTCCAAACAATACAGGGAGGTCTGGAGCAATCAGACCTCTGTACGTGGGCATCCCTTCCCATGTTGAATACTTCAAATATGTCATCATATACATGGGATATAATGCCATATTTAAAGTATAAATGGTGACTCCGGAAAGAAGACCTTTCAGTACACTGCGAAAAAAGTGTAAAATGTACAGTGAAAAACTGTCAAATCCCGACAGTAACAGACCGTTAAATTCAAATT